CCATTGAACTTCTAAAAATGTAAAGAGGATGAATTAATTTTAGTTGTAAATTGTTTATCTCCGCTTATATAGGATATTACGTATTACATAGCTATTCATTACTCCCTTTGATTGCAACGATATTTCCCTATGACTTGATGCTTTGCTTAGTTTTTGGAAGACATCGTTCACTATTCTTACGCGCCTTCAGATTTTTATGTTACATTTTTCATCCCATAATGCAAAAAGGGCTAAAACCTGGAAAAATACACAATTGAAAAGAAACCAAAAAGTATTGCCGACAAAAGAGAAAGTTTGAAAATCAGTGAGGAAGGGGAGAGATGGGGAGATGTGAAGAGAAAATTGAGGAATACGAACAGTCATTTTTACTTATTTTGACAGGAATAAATCGGAGGTTTTATAAAATATATAGCAGGCTTGTTTATATGCAGAAGGCACACGACTTTAAGTTCGTGTATATGTGCGCGCATGGGCCTATATGTATGCTTAATGGGAACATTTAGTGTGGAAAAAAAACTTGATAGTAAGTTTCTTTTAATCATTTCGTCTCAAGCAAAGCGATAAAGCGCACTAAGACGTAAAGGTTACTGACAGCGAAATAAACAGAGAGGACAATAAAAGGACGTGGTTCAAGGAGACAGAAGATAACGATTGATGTTGGATTTAAGTTTTTGAAGATAGTAATAGGCCGGAAAACAAGAAGCCGGAAGTAAGTTTCACATGCGAAAAACGCGAGAGAAGAAACTATTAGCGTAGAATTTACGGTTACATCTAGACAATTTGACTGTAACTTGATGAGATCTTGTTGCCACTGTAGTACCATTCTTAAATTCATAAAGTATAAGTACCATAGCGAAGAGCTCATCCGAACAATCACCATGAAAGTATTTATTGAAATCGCACAGGGAAGTAATTTTATGACGGCGGGAAAATGACTGAAGTCAAGACTCTAAGTCAGGACCAATGATTCTTTGGATTTTATCAAGAATCTCTAAATATATAGCAGGAGCATCGGCCAATATGTGGCAGCAACATTCTAAGCATAGAATAAGCATTTAGCAATATCAACAGGGAAATTATGAGACCTAGCTGCCAATCTAGCACTGTGTTTAAATTCGTGAAGTCGAAGTGCCATTGAAATATTTATAGAAAAGGCACATAGGAGTTATGTTACGAGGGAAGGGAAAGTGACTGAAGCATGGCCTGACTAGTTTGATAGTCACGTCACACTACGGTAGACGTCCGTGTATTTACTGCTTGTAGGTAGAGTCTCACTTTTAGCACCGATAACTGCTGCACTGCACGCGCATCCTCTTTGAAATCAGTAAAAAAAAAACAATTCTTTCAATCAAGTCTTGATAGAGAAATCCAAGGAACTACATTAAAGTCCTAGTTCCGTTCCCCCCTACTAAAAATCTGACTACATGGTCCAACATCAGATTTTTTTTGGGCGGGGGGGGTGTAGAAGAGGCAGATCGATAATCTTTCAACACCCTTTGTACATACAGAGTAGAATCAAACGCGAATCTACATCGTTAAGCGCGTTTTTGGGGTCTGACTCTTTTTATACGTCGTTCCGCTTGAAAGCGTTTAATCAAAGATTTAATCAACACACCTCTACGCATCTGTACCCGTTTGTGCATAAATAACCATGTCTATAGAGACTTCATCAAGAATAACACTTGGATACAAACATTCAGGTGTATACACTTACAAATTCAAATACGTCACGTCAGACCTAAATCAAGATATCCTCTGTCCTAGAAGACCGGCACTGTACCATGCTGCGTTCTTCAGGACATTTTTTCGGGGTAACGCGGGTAACTCAGCGGTGCTCATTTCCTCTTCAAGTTGTACTGGGTCACACGCTACCGGCAGCAGGGAGTAATCCATGATCTAATATATTGGGAGAAGTGGATTCATGCCTTTCCTAAGGGTATTAGTGCAAAGTGAACACAAACTACCTCAACCGGAATTTGAACTTGGTTCGCCGATTTCATTTTGTGTGTTATTTACCTTTAAGCCAAACCCATATCTATAATGTATCATAATGACATAGGTATAAAACGAATACAACGTATAGAAACAGATTTGCAATTCGACGATGGCCGTGTAGGTTTTTAGCAATACACACGATTTCCTTTTTTTATCTATTCAGTGTCTTATTTACTTATTTTTATGTATGCTATAAAAGGGACAGTCATTTTGTTTTGTTCTTCTTTTCCAAAAGTTAATCTATTCTTCGTCTTATTTAGCTAATTCTTAAACAGCTGATAATGTCCTAAACTCAAGGTCACATATAGTGAAAAGTGGAAGATTATGTTGCATCAGCCTTACAAATGAGGAGACCGACTTTAGAAATCAGCATTCAAATTTTCAAGCTTGAAGGCAATCCTTGAAATCAGTATGTTAAGTGTTAACTCTGTAGACCCCCCCTCCCATTGAGCATAGAACCACAACTACACTACTGTGGTTTTTACAGGGTGGAGATGCTAGCCGC